CCCCTAGATCATCAAAGCCTTAGATAACAAGGTTTCTTTTCCTGGAACCTCTGCTAAGACCAGGAAACATGAACTTTTTAAAAAGTGCATCCTTAGGGCTTTTAAAAGAGGTTGTTTGGGAATTTTAGAGAACTGAAAGTAGGTGAGAGAAGAGAGAACAAATGAAACGTCTTAGTCTTTGGTCACAACACAACTCTTGTCTTTTTATATGGGCCGCAGTGGTTTTGTCTTTATGGTGACTCAGTAGCCTGATCAGAACTACAGCAATAGCTCACATCCAAGTGCAGTTTCTCATCCACGTGGTTTGTTGCAAAACCGAGAAGTTTCCACCTGAAAGGAATGTGCTTTCTGTGAAGGGTGGCATATGTATTGGGTTCCAACCGCCCAAATCTCCTTTTCTTCATGCCAGGTCGTGAGACTGAATTTGGGGGCTTAAATAAAGGTGCTTGCTCAGAATGTGGAAAAAAATTAAAAGCTGAATTTAAGCCATAAAGAAAAAAGGATACTGTTGTATTGTGAGTTCCTCGGTGGCCCTGCAGGAACTGCGGGTCTGGTTTTCTTCGGATCAGTAGGATGGCCCGTTCCCATCGCTGTGGAATCATCAGTAAACCTGTTGTGGTTCGCTATGCACCCTGGGAAGGTCTGAATGAAGAAATCACTTTAAAAGAAATCTCGACTGGCATTTCAGTAAGAAGACTTGTTACTTTTGTTAATAGATTTGGCCTATTTAAAATAAAACAGGAGCTAGAATGGCCTCGAAAATAGCCAGTGAGACCCCCCAGTAACAGTGTCATTATCTGCCATTGTGTCGCCTTCCTCGGCCCAGGCTCCTAGCTCCTCCTCTGGGGACAGAGCTGGGTCTTCCTGCTGGACCCCAGTTGTTTAATCTGTGATAAAAATAAATAAGTGTACAAATCTGACATAAAAATACTAAGTTTATTGCTTTTACTTCATTTCCCCTTAACTTTCAGTTAACAATCGTAGAAAAAAGAACACATGTGCTGTTTGTGTCATTTTCCATGTCAAGGGAAACCTGCTCATCAGAAAATATTGTCAGCACCATTTGTACACCGAGTTGAAGTAATGCTGCTTCAATGTGGGCGTTATTAAAAGGCAATTAGGTTGAAATGAGAGTCACCCTCATTTCCCTTTATAATTAGTGTCTCTCCACTGCAGGCGCAGAGCAGGTGTCGTTGTTGGGTGGGTAAGCAGTGGAAGACGGTCTACATCGAAATGTTATAATGGTAACAGATAATTTTTGACACAAATCCTATCACATGTTTTCAATGTAAAACAGATCATCACCATTGAAAAAATAAACCTGGAATTTTACTGTCTAAATTATAACTCCATAAGGACATAAACAAGCCTTCCCTTCGCAGTGATCTTCTCTGTAAGCCACAGGGCGAATCCCACTCCTTGCTTCCTCCCCTCACGCACAGGATCCAGGTGGGGAATCCTCCGTCCCTCCCGCCCACTGAATGGCGAATGAGTCGGCCGTTTTCTCTGAAGTGAGATGGTACATTCAGACCTCACGAAAGGAACGATATGGCGACTTCATGTTGTTTAAGCAGGAAAAGCTTTACTCTTTTTTTTAACTGTTTATGATGGGAACTTTCAAACACACGAAAGTAGGGAGAACAGCATCAGAACTTCCATCTACCCATCACCCAGCTTCATCAGTTTTCAACAGCCTCTTGACAGGAGACTGCTTTTTCCTTCTGTGAGCGTGCTCAGCTGTGCAGGCCTTGCTGCTCAAAGGCGCCTTCTCACTTCCCCCAGCGCTCGCTCATCTGCCTCCTGTTTCGTGACCAGGCCGACCTTCAGGGTCCCGGTTTATATCTGTTCAGGGCAGAACCTAATCCACAGTCTTTCTGCTTACAGACGCTTTCACCTAGCCCCTTTAAACAGATGGACACTGTAATATCCCAGAGAACACCTGCAACATGCTCCATGTGACCGAGCCAAGGAAAGAACCCATTGTCCTTTGCCCCTCGATGTATGGCAGGCCCAGGAAAACGAGCCTGTGGGCTTTGCAGACACAAGCATTGGCCAAGACTTGGCAAGAAAATGAGGGAGAATATAAGTGTGAAAGGTGAAATCTCATGTCAGTGAGGACTGGTGTGAACCCTAAAAAGGGGGGGGGGGGCGGGCACAATTCTACAGTTTGCCCAACAAATGCGTAAGAGAGTGACTGGAGTTGGCTCTGCTGAACAAGGGATTCAGGAGAAGGGCGACTCCCATTCTGTTGATTCTGTGTTGATTGGCAAGTGGATTTTTCCAAACTTCTCTTAACCGAGGTTTTGGGAAAGATGGGAAAGTAGAGGTTTCGAGATGTATGTCTGGTAAGAGGCTGGAGTATTGATTTTGTGGGTTAGGAGCGGAAGCAAATTTGTGTGTTGCTGCTGGAGAGGATAGTGAGGTCATAGGGGTCACGCGCCAGAGTGGACGCCCCTCCCACCCCACGCGTGGAGCTGCTGAGAGGCTGGCCACGAGCAAGGTCAGGACTTCGAAGTCCGGCAGCCTCTCTGCTGGCCATGTGCTTTGTGCCCTGGGAACATTTTGGTTATATCTTTTTATCATTATGGCACCATATTTCCCCATCTGTGATGTCTCCCTTTATGAAATATCGTATTAACCACTTTATAATCAAAATGAATGTTCGTTTCATTTATTCATTATTAAAATGTCTGCCATCATTTCATGTTTATATGATGCCTTCAGAATAGGAAAGAAACTGGTTTTTGTTTGTTTGTTTTTAACTCTTTATGTTGAAAGTATTACATATGTCCCCTTATCCCCCCATTAACCCCTTCCAGCCCTCCTGCCCCCTCCCCAGGCCTCCACCACCCTCTCGTCTGTGTCCATGGGTTATGCATATATGCATATAAGGTCTTCGGTTGATCTTTTCCCACCCACCACCCTGCCTTCCCTCTGAGATTGGACAAGAAATTGGTTTTTAATAAGACCACGATCCCTTGGCGCATGGTTCTGCAGGTTGAGTGGCTTGTTTGAATCCTGTTTACAAAGTTGATGAGCACTGACTATAGTACACATTTCCCCCCAAATCAATGGCAAAGCTCTCGTCCTGTCACAGGTGCCTTCACAGGCCCCTTAGCCATCAGGGCTCCTCCTCTCCCTGGAAAGGCCGTTAACAAGTAACATAGTTTACACTCTTATTGGGTCTACGTGTTTTCATATTATATACAAACAAGTACAATTGTCCTGTAACCTGATGCCTTTGAAAGCATGTGGCATACCCTCACTGTTCTCAGAAAGCTCAATAGGACAGTCACACTTTTTTCTGGAAAGTGCCACTCTTTGTTCCTGACCAATCAGAGTGCTCCAAGTGGGCACCCAGGGACTTCCTATAGGGCATCCAGGGGAGGTTGACCTGGGAGAAAAGAGCTGCCCTTTCAGTAATGATGCAAGTCAACCAGCAGACCTCAGGGCGAGGATTAACTTCCCAGAATAAACAGTATAACTGTTCCAGCAGTTGTTGTTTTGTGTGTGTGTGTGTGTGTGTGTGTGTTTTGCTTTTACCCAATGTTGGACATTCCGTTCTTTAATTATCTTGGGCTTTTCTCAGGAATAAACTAAGAGTTGTGATTTTTGTGTGTGTCAGACTTGAAGGTTTCTGAGTAAAGACGCCACAACTTAGAAGAATGTTCCTGCTTGTACTTATTGAGTAATTGTGGTCATTTTTGCATAGTCCTGATGTTGAATTCCGAGGTTGGCACTCTAATGGCCTAATAATTTTTCAGAAAATGAGACCAGGAACAGCTGCCAATATAAACCGTCATTTTCTTTTCATCTAGTACATTTCAACTTTTAAATAGTAGTGGACTACTATTTGGTTTCTCTCCAATTTTTTTAGACTGACTTTTTTAATAGATAATAAAAGTAATTTCTAGACATACTGCTTTCTCTGATTAACCTTAGAAAGGTCACATGTTTTACATCTTTAGTTAAACTGTGAGCAGATTTGAAAAGTGGTACCTTTTTGAAAAGCAAGTGTAATTTCACTTCTATTTTGATGATATTGATTTTAAAAAATGGTAGGTTTAAAGTCTCCTCACTTGCCACCGACTTATATTATACTCACGGTTTGCTTATCATCTGCCCCCAATAGTGTAGGCTTCCTGAGAGCAGAGGATTGTTTTGTCTGCTTTCTTTCACTGCTCTTTCTAACCGCAATAGGTCTTGACATACAGCAGATACACGATGGTCTTGATTGAATTAATTTTGTTTTGAGAATTTGGCATCTTTATAGTTATCATCCTGTGTTCTGCTCACTGTAAACTTCTGCGTATTATATCTATAGTACATCGGGTGGCTTAAATGGACTGTTTCTTTTCTAGTTCACCTCTTAAAATAGTAGACAACTCGATGATAATTACTGATCTTCGTGGGTTGTAAGTTCCCTCTATTAACCTGAGTTCTATTTCCTGCAGCTACTTGGCAACTGAAAGAGATCATGTCCTTCCACTTCTTACAGGTTCCTTGCATTCTACACCACCCTCAGTGACGTGGTGGGGAAACTCCTTTAAAGCTTCCATATGTTAACTCACATTGCTGTGGTGTAATTTCGAAAAGTGTCACGTTAGTCAAGCATTACATTTCCTAGCTGTCACAACACGGTTCCGCGTGTGCCTGTACCTTGCAGGTGTACCGACAAAGCTGTTTTAATTAGCAACAGCTCTGTGCTTTATTGCATGCTCCTGGTTCTATGCTGGGAATGTAAGAGGCGTTTTTATAAAATAAATTGACACCCACTAATGTGTCTGTTTTATAAGTTTGGAATTTTTTATACTGATTATTCCTAAAGTGGAAAACATCTGGGCCTGGCATTTAAAATCTGGTTTTGTTTGCCTGAACTCTTTGGAATGACAGTGATAGGCTAGAGATCTGAAGCTTTTTGATGCCAGTTCAGGTGATAAAACCTTTGTTTCAGGGGCGCTAGTTTTTCCTGTTTACGTGTTTATCATACGCTGTTTCAGGCCTTGCGAGATGAACTGGAAAACCGCTCGAACCAAGTGCGATGCGCAGAGAAGAAGTTGCAGCACAGGGAGCTGGAGGCCCAGGAGCAGGTACGCCCCCACCCCTCCGCCCGCGTGCTGGTGTGTTTCTCCACAGCGGGAGCCGATGTGTTTCCTGTTTCCACTGGGGTGTTTGGCTGCACGTAACAGAATGCCCCGCTCCTGGCGGGCAGAGACAACAGAGAGATTTATTACCTCACAAACCCAGAGGCTGTAGGTAGGGCAGGCTCTGGGCAGAGCGCCCCGGGCCTTGGCTGCCTCTAGAACATTCTTGCGGCTCTTCCCCTGGGTTGACTTCATCCTAAAAGCAGTGCCAAGGCCTCTCATGATTCCCAGCAATATCCAGAGGCAGAAGCGGACTGTCTGCCTCTAGGGACCCTTCTGAAGAGTAAGACCTTTCCCAACAACCCCTAGCTTCTCATTGGCCAGGACAGGTCACATGCTCTGCCTGGCACATGCAATCCCTGGCAAGAGGACTGAGGGGACCCATACCAGCCTAGACCAGCCGGGATCTACGTGGGAGAGGGAGAATAACCTGAACAGGAAGTGGGGAGGGGGATGTTGGGTCCACAGCCAGCAAGCAGTGTGTGTCGTGTCATCATATTCGAATGGAGAGACAGAAATCACATTTTCTTTTGAACTGAATTTTCTCCTCTCTCTCCATTATATTAATAAAATAAATAAAATTTAACCAGAATAATCTGGCTATGATGATAGCTAATGACCTATTTCATTTTCAAATGGCAGGATTCTTTTTATTCAATTCTTCTGGATATAGTGAGTTATTCTTTGCGGTAATTTTGACAACTTAAGTGAAAAAGGCAGCAATGTATTGAGAGCTCAGGAGTCTCAGTGGGACCTTTATAAATGCATGTCCTCAGCTCTTGGGTGCAGCATTTTTCACATTCTCCAAGGTTCCACCACGCCTCATGCACATTACCTGTCGTCTCATAGTGCAGTCAGTGCAGGAATGTCCGGTTAGTCATTCTGACCCTGTGGGGAGAGTAAACACTGAAGTAAGGCTAATAGGCAATGTTTTTCATCTTGGGAGGTGTCTACAAACAGGACCTCGAGGCAGGGGACTGCACAGAATGGTAGACGGAAGCATCCCATAGGTGCTGAGTATTCATACCAATGAACTGACGGCCTCATAATTCCCTCCTACTCTCTCACATACACCCAGCATAACATACATGCCATGTAATATGTATAGATCACGTGTATGATATGCATGAATATACAAATATAAGTATTACAGAGGGCCTGTCATACAGTCAACAATAGAATCACAAAACAAGATAATACTAGAATACAAAATTAATAACTATACTTTATCAAAGGCCTACAAAATAACAGATGCTATACAAGAAACGTTATACATGTTAGTTCATGTATCCTGATAACAACCATGTAAGGCCAGCGTTATCATCCCCATGTCACAGAAGCTGTAAAACCCGGAGGGGTTGAGTAACCCGCCCAAGGTCATAGAACTAGTAGAGAGCATGGTGGATTCAAACCCACGTTAATCTGAGTGCCAAACCTCTGCTCCTTTGATGACACGTTTTAAGTTACATTTCTAGTTCATAAAAAAGCTGCATAACAGACTCAGGGCAAGTGCGTGTATTAAGGATGGCAGGGAAGCAAACATCCTGTGCCAGCATTAACCCTCCACGGGCAGAGAGCAGCAAAGAGCAGAGGAAACGAACGCAGAGCAGACAGGGCCCAGATGCAAACAGCTCTTTGGATGGCTGTGGTGTGAGCGCCATGGCACAGGCTTCCTTCGCTGAGGCCGCTGGGCTCCACCTCTGTCTTGGATGCTTGTAACTGAAGAAGTCAAGCTTCCTGAAAGCAGGAACAGTGCTCCCTGGAGGCCTGGCTTCTCCAGTTTGTGATAAAATATGACTTAAGGTAACACTTTGTTGACATCGCTCTAATTCATGGCAGAACTTCACACGGAAAACTCCATCGTGTGCTGAGAGGAGGGAAATGAAGAAATCCCCAATGAACAACGGGGCAGGATTCAGGAACCACTTCGGTCTCTTTTCATTGACTTCTTTTTGATCATCAAAGTTGCTTTCATCTTTGCAGTGACAATAGCTTTTTAGACTATTTCTTACACTAATTCCTGATATCTTCTATTAGGCTCCAAGTTTACCAAAGAAATGTCAGGAAATACCCGTGGGTAAAGCTGCAGAGTTCATAGTCTTTGCAACCATGACATGTTGGGTCCTTTCCACAAGATCCTAGGCTGTAGCTGGAAAAAAACGCCAGTTGCTTCAGCAAAACCGAAGAGCAAATGATGGGCACTTGATAAATACTACTCATTTGGAATTTAATTCAACTTCTATCTTTGACCTCTGCCCCCTTTCAGTTTGTGACACTAATAATTAGAAGTATTGTGTTGTACATTTTTAGGGTCCACTTCTATCTGAGCTTACTCAGACAGTTAAAATCTTTTTTAAGTTTTTAAAGATTTGTGCATTTATTTATTTTGTTATTGTTGTTGTTAATCCTCACCCAAGGATATTTTTCCATTGATTTTTAGAGAGAGTGGAAGGAGAGGGGAGAGACAGAGAGAAGGGGAAATATTGATGTGAGAGAGAGACACATCAGTTGGTTGCCTCCCACACCTGCCGGTACAAGAGGCCGGAATAGAGCCTACAACCAAGGTATGTGCCCTTAACCAGAATCTAACCCAGGACCCTTCAGTCTGCAGGATGATGCTCTATCCACTGAGCCAAACCAGCCAGGGCAAATAGTTAAAATCTTGAAATGGTTGAATATGATTGTCTGTTTTGCATGTCAAAGCAAGGGTAGTCCCAGTCACTGGCCTGACATCAGCCAACCAAATGACTGAAACGTGTGCAGATCAGCTTCTCAAAACTTCTCTTCCTTTTCAACCACATATTATCCTGGTACTAGTTGCAGAAAGAGTCAGAATTGGAACTGGCAGGATTACAAAGGACAGTTTCCTGGGCTTTATTTAACTCGCTCACTTAGAAAAAGAAAAGAAAAAGCTTAAACTGTTGCTGTTTTTCATTTAGGAAAAATTCCTATGTTTTGATTCTATAAAAACAAAAAATGAATGAGGCATTTTAAAAGTTGTGTTTTTAATTAAAAACAAAAAGCTGCTTCTCATCAGGTCTCGATGGGTGGTATCCTTGCTGCCCACCCCTTGCCTCGGTGCCATCAACGCTCCTAACTCCTCCCCTGGCACGTCAGTCAGCACCGCGCCCAGAGGAGGCTTGCTCATCGTAGCTACAGAGGGTTAATTTGCTCCTTATGCAGGTTCAAGATAAGCCAAATAAAATTAGGAAACACTAACTCTCTATCTAAGCCAGCCTTCCAGAAACACCAACTTATCTTGTAATTCATAAGTAGTAAAGTCATTAGAAATCATCGTTATTTTTAGCCATACCAGGAGTTAATAATTCCTGATTCCAGATAAGCTCCGAGCAAGAATCCCATAATTGCAGCAAACCCAGGGAGTCAGAGCTCTGGCCCAGCTTCCTCCTTGTGCCAGGAAACTGAGTCATCAGGAAAAGATGCGAGCCCTCACAGCAGGCGCGGTCCAGGGAAGGACCGCTCCCGCTCAGCCGCACTTGGGCCTCTCGCTCCCGGCCATGACACTTCCCATTGGAGGGAGCTCCGTAACATGGGTACACTAATGTTACTAACGTGAGGGATGTGTACGACTGACCCTCACTTTCCTGAGTAAACAGTGTGTCATCATGCTCAATGAGACTAAGTAATTTGCCGACACGAGACAATATTATAGAAAAGACAGGGAAGAAAAGAAACAGTTTAAAAATCCACTTGGTATTCTTAACACGGTACAAAGTTTACACTTGTCAGGAAGGCACTGAGCAACGTCAGATTTCGACCTAATATAATGTGGATAGTAGTGTACACACTGCAGATGCTCTGGGTGGAAGTAGGTATCTTAAGGTTGAAAGTATTAATGGCTTTGATTACATCAGTCGCTCAGTTTCCCAAATTATTTTAGATAAATTAGTGAGAAAAGACAGTGAGCCAGAGATGTCCTAATAAATGAGCACAGCGCTGTGCATTTCCCAACAGGGTCCCACTGTCTTCCCTCAGCTCGTGGCGGCACATGGTAGGTGCTGAGACGACAGAGATGAGTGGGTTAGAGAGGAGTTTATGGTTTAGTAGCACAGAGGAGACCCGTATACAGTGTAGACTCCACACATGGAGTTTGAGGGAGGTTCTTATTCTTGTAAATGGCTCAGAGGCTCAGAATCACAAATGTGGAAAGAACACAGCATTAGTCCTGTGTCCATCCTGCCTGCCCCCTGTGAGGAAGGACGAGGAGAACCAGCAGCTGGTCAGAGCTCAGGTTCCATGGCCCAGGCAGGGCTTGGCGCTCACTGACACATGTTGTTTCAAAAGCCGGCGGTCCGAGGCGGGCAGCGCCCCTGCCAGCCTTCTCAGGGCCCACCAGGCCCTGTTGCCCGGGCAGTGACTGGAGGGCCTCTGCCTTCTGGCCAGTGTTATTAGCAGCCAGCTGCTTTGGTTGTGCCTCTTACCTGGTGTGTCCAGGTGTTAAGGGTCTGGACTGTGCAGCCACAAGTAATCCATAAGTTGTCTTAAAATATATAGCAAAAAGCCAGCTATACTCTGATGTAATCAAAGCCATTAATACTTTCAAACTGTCCTTTGCATCTTTGCTGCAACCTACTTTATATTTCAGGCCTAGACACATTCATTACTTTCAGAGAGAATCTAGCGAGCAAAGACAGCCTCAGAGGTAATCGTGTGTATTTGGGGAGGGGGCAGAGGTTGTCCCAGAGCCAGTTAGCAGAACCCAAGGCAGGGGCTGGGGCAGGAGAGGCTGCAGGACAAGGGAGATCCAGTGGGGATGACTGCTGGTGCTCAGGCCACTTTGTCCCTGCTGGTCATTGGGCAAGCACTGCACTGCTCCGGTACCAGGTCCCTAAAACGCCAGTGCTCATACCTTCCCACAGGGTGGATGTGGACATGCAAACGGGGTCACGTATGTGAGATACTTCAGAAACTATCAACACAATGCA